ATGCCAGAGGGCACCCTCGCACAGAAAATCCACATATCCAGTCACAGAAGTAGAGAACTCATGACCCTCCAGGAAATCCCTTATATGGACATAGGCATTGCTATTATATCTGTAACTGAGTAAACAGAACATAAACACTTTGAATGATAAAACAAAGACAATAAACACTTGACTGCGACAATATAGTTTATCTGTGTTATTTAAGCCATCTCTGGTATTTTCATAATAATAAAGTATATTTATAATAGGGTGACCATATTTTAGTTTTCCAAAAAAAAAGGACAGTAGGGGGCTAGGTTCGGGGACGGGGCTTCACCTAATAGTAGGTTAGGTTTTTTTTTTTTGGTTGTTTGCTTATGTTTTTATAATAAATAAAAAGAAAACAAGTAGAAAGAATAGAAAAATAATAGGGAACGCTAGTGTTAGAGGGTCATTTTTAAATAAAATTAAAACAAATAATGCTAGTGTTAGAGACTCTTTTTTCTTTATAAATAAAACAAGTAGAAAGAATAGAAAAATAATAGGGAACGCTAGTGTTAGAGGGTCATTTTTAAATAAAATTAAAACAAATAATGCTAGTGTTAGAAGGTCACTATTTATAATAAATAAAAAGAAAATAAGTGGTCAGAATAGAGAAAGAATAGAGAATGCTAGTGTTAGAGACTCTTTTTTCTTTATAAATAAAACAAGTAGTTAGAATTGAATTAGAATAGAGAGTGCAAATGTTAGAGGGTCAAGTTTTTTAATTAAAATACAAGCAGATAAAATTAGAAGTAGCATTAGAATAGAGAGTGCTAGAGTTAGAGTGTCAAATGAAGATGAAAGACATGTTTTCAGCCGTTTCTTGAAAATATTAAGGACTCCACTGCTTGGATTGAGCTGGGCAGGTCATTCCACCAGGAGGGAACAGTTAATGTAGAAGTCCATGAAAGTTTTATCATAGGTAGAATGCAAAATGTTTCAATACAAGCATTTCAGTCAAATGTAATTTATGCAATATTTCAAACCTTTAACCCACTTGGGAAAATCAACCCATGGCAACAGTTTAAAAGTAGCCCAATTCTGTGGAAAAAACGTGGACTTGGCAACCCTGCATCCAACAAGAGCTACCGGAGTCAGCTTTAACTGATCACAGGTCGAGAATAAGGAGAGATGAATGACAAGACCATGCTAGAGTATTTGCTGCTCAACAGATCCTGAGCTCATTGACAAATATCCGGTCTTGTAAGATATGCTTCCTTTACACAAATTGCATGAGATTGCAAAATCGAAAGTGAAAGTAAACAGCGCAAACTATATTAAATATTAAAAAAATATTTAAATACACCGCATACTGAGAGCGGCTCCCTGATGTGCCAAAATTATATACAATATTAAATTGTTTAAAGGAGTGGACACGAAAATAGTGGGAGCGAAACACGTGTTGCTGGCAATGGTCAGAGATTCAAGGGGAGTGGGATTAATCCCGGACATTTTAGGCAATTAAGAAATCCCGGCCGGATGCATTTTTGTAGGTCCAAAAAGAGAACATGCCCGGGGAAAAGAGTACGGTATGGTCACCCTAATTTATAATTTATTGCTAATCGATGTATTCTTTTTAAAGTAGCATATGGAACATATTTTCTGCCTCATTCTGTGACAAGAAGCCTCATCAGATCACAAAAGGAAGCATTTGACTGCTGTTGTGGAGTAAAAAGGTTATAATGTTCTCTTTTGTTGGACAACAGGTTTAGAAAAATGAATACAAGGGAGGTTTAGCTTTAGGCATTTTAATTTAAGCATGTTTAGCTTAGTTAACAGAAGGCTACCTGCTGCCATCCGAGCAAGTGTAATTACTGAATTCACGCGCTCCTCGGATGCTCTCATTTCCTGAGTTGTGCTTTTAAGTCGGAATGTGTAAACAACATGGACACTTGCGTTACTACAAAGATTTGTTGGATTTGTATTATTAGAGCTTTCCGACTTGAGTTCACATGCATTTTCTCAGTCGGGAAATGCGGTGCCAGTGATGATGCTTCTTACGTCCGTTTCGGAGAACCAGAGGACAAATATTTCAATCGATCACTCAGGCATTTAAGTGGCACTGAAATGAGGTACCGAAATCTGCGTTCGGATTCGGTTCTAGTACATGTCAGTTACATAGGTACTGGTGCCGTATTGGTACCGGTTTTGGTACCCAACCCTATTTAAAACTTTAGTCTTTGCAACTTTAGGATCTATTCACGAACAGCTTGTAACAGTCCAAAGAGAAAGGAAAACTTGAAATCACATCATATGACCCCTTTAACAGGAGCATTCTGGGTTTTTTTTTTATACAATGTATCTGTTTACTCTGACATGTAAAAATGAGCAGGATAAGTATGTGTTACACTTACAATGGAGCCTATCAATATTTTGTTAAAGCACTTACATGAGCACTTCAGTCAGAAAAATATCTGTTAAATTCGATGTAATGTGAAAAAATAATTTCTTGGTGGAGGAAGTCAGTAGTTCTTAATCTTTTTGACTCCAAGGCACAACAACACAATAATTACGCTTCAGGGTTTCAGAAATTTTAAGAGCTGAATAATCTTCAAGGTTCCCATTCTTTTAGATTCATTAATTTACATGAGTTTTCAGTCATTTGTGATTTACTGCATAAAAGATTAATGATAAAGATTTTTTGTTGTTGCAATATTTTACTGCTTTTAAAATTTATTAATTTAAAAATTCTACCTGATAAATGGACTACTAGCATACTTCATATTGCCTAATATTTTTCATGTAATATGAAATTATAAATGTTTCATACAGCAGTATGATGTGTTGTTGTCACATGACCACACCATGTTTAATTTAGAAAGTGGTCTCAGGTTATCATCTCAGAAATATAAAGTTAATTAATGTTTTAATCTAGTTACAAGTGTATTGGCAATCCAATCAGATGAAACAAGAAAATTATTTTACAAATCACTTCTGACTTATTTGAAACATGGAAACAGAAGGTCAAGTTGGGCGCTTTGTATTATGGGATGCATTATGCTCTGGCTTTATACACATTTTGTCTAATGTAGATGGGCCTACAGATACCTGTATTAAATGCATACAGAAAATTTGCTGACCATGCATACAAAATACAATAAATTATATGTCTGCATTTAATATTATGTCTGTAGTCAGAATTGTATTTTATTTTATTTTATTTTACATTTGCTTCCACAGTTTAATGCCAATACACCATACAAAATTGACCTGAAAAGATCTCACTCTTACAACCCATTAAAAAATTAAATAAACTCATCAACCCTACATCTCAAAGTTCCAAAAGTAATCCATGAATAAATCAAGCATAAATAAACCAGGAGATAGATAGTTAGATGATACTTATGTAATTTCGCAAGTATCGAGACTAAGATTGACTAAGATAACTTTTACACAAACAGGATTGCTAAGTGTTTCTTTTAATGCATAAATCACAGGGATTTGTCCTGGTTCTCAAGGGATATACTAAGAATGTCCTCATAATGGAATGGCTGTGTAATGGAAAGCTCTAGATCAGAAATACTTTATTTCCAGTCCCTAGGCACAATCTCTTCATTCTCTTGGAATGGAAAACCTCTGCCCTAAACTCAAGATTTTATCAGAGAGGACAGGGCAGACTTTCAGAACCCACCACTGACACAATCATTTACCTCACAACCTGCACTAACAGTTACTAAAGCCCAGATGCGGAACTTCAGATCTTCCCTGCTGCGCCTGCCAAGTTTACCTTGTCCGTCTACCTTAATCTATATTCTGCACTGTTTATACTTTCGCTGTCTGCTTATGATGCAAGTTTTGTGCACCAAAACATTTCCAAGCCTCATTTCTATCCTCTCTCTGACACATAGGGCCAGATTTACTTTAGCGCAAACCGTCTTTTGGCATTAAAATAGTACTGTCAAGATTTACTAAAGACAAGCAGTGAAAAATTTGCGCTGAAAAGGCATGGACACAGTTATTTTTGCGCCTGACCTTATTGCATATGCATTTGTAGGAGTTTCCCTTTCAGACACAAAAATTAATGGGAGGAGCGTATTAAAATGAATCACGCAACACGATTTACTAACGTTTGCGCTCATCAAATTACTGGTATGTGCGCCATTATTTAACGCCCAAAAAAAAGCGTGTCAAATGAGTGATTAAACAGGTGGTATTTTGCACCTGTGTCATAAGTAGCACCTGATGTGCATCAGCTCTGGTTGTTTGTGACTACGCTAATTTTTTCTGTGCTTGGTATATTGCGTTGGTCGATATGTAAATGAGATGTTGCGTCTGTGTTCTTTAATTTGCATGTTGTCAATAAATCACCCACATACATTTCCACGTCCATCGGTGCCGTTTTGGAATTGCACTCTCACGCTATTTTGTCCTGTTTTAGTAAATCTGGCCCTTAGAATTAAACAGGATACTGTACCTTTAAGACTTTTATATGTAAATGACCTTTTTATAATTTGCTAATCTGCATATGCTACTTCACTCTCTCTGCCCAGTTGTGGTGGTTTTATTGTGAACAATATTGTGGTGGTCCATTCTCGTTAACTAGATTTTCAATGGTTGTCAATTTTGTCGTAATTAGTTTGCGAAGGCCAAGCCACATGTTCTATTAGCTATTAATGTAACTCTGGAGACGAGACTGGGGTCAACTGTAACAGAAGGGCAATTGTAGTGCTCTAATTTATTTTATTATTTCGTAAATCATGAACAAGCTATTGTGATGACACTTGTTCAGCATATGTTCAGTAAAGCATTGTTTTGAAGTATAAAAATACATTTTTTGGATGTCCGTATTAGTAGCTTTCTTCTGCTGTACAAAATTGTATTAGCTTTTAATTTTATTAATTACACAGACTTAACACAGAGGATCTTGGCATTATGAAAAAATATATATACACAACCTTTTAAACCCATTTCTAAGCTCCAGTTTGTCACATAGTTTTTATGCATACTTATAACTCTTTATGTTTCTTTCTTTTTTACAGAAACCTGCTTGACAGAGACACATTTTCCAAATCAGATCCAAGTAAGAATATCTTTCTTCTCCTTTGTTGCTCAAATGCATACTGTACCGTGAAATATGCTTATCAAACCCTGAAAAATATTTCTCACGCCATGGTTTATTATGACCTCGTATATGACAGTATGATCAACTGCTTTCAGCCTTGTTAAGAGGGGACTTTCTTCACTGTCTGAAAGCTTATACAATCACATGACTCACTGCGTTCTGTTTGCGTTTTCTCGCACTGATTGTGTGAAGTAAAGCCTCCAAGCTTCAGCTCTGAATGTGGCACGGGCCTCAGATATAGACACACTGTGGGCGGCCTGCTCCACAATGTCCTTTTGAGGAGAAAATGTAAATGTCACACATTTGGCCTCGGATATCAGAGTAATCTAAATTCAAAAGTACAGGCGAGTAGATCCGCCTAAGAGATTATATTTTATGTTGTTAAAGGTGGGGTAAGTGATTTCTGGTAGTCAATGTTGATATTTCAAATCACCAAAACAAACACGCCCCTACCCCAAAAGGGTCTCGCCCCTATTTTGATAGCTCAGCCCCACACATACGTACACAACCCAGGCAACGATTATTGCGGAATCTGCTGTATTATGACCTGCTGAATTAAACATACTATCTTAGGGTGTATTCACACCTGTCTTGTTCGGTTTGATTGAATCTCAAAACTCATGTTCGTTTCCCTTCTTGGTGCGGACCTTTTTGGCAGGTGTGAATACAGCAATCGCACTCGGGTGCGGACCAAACAACCGTACTGAGACCTGGCTGAAGAGGTGGTCTCAGTCCGCTTCCAAACGAACTCTGGTACGGTTCGTTTGAGGTGTGAATATGACCCGACCTCGATCCGACCCGATTGCAGAAATTGCGCTCAGAAACAAACAGCTTGCGCACGTAGTGCTGTTGTTTGCGTTTCAATGGCTTAAATCACTTGTTTTTAAACCACAATGCTTTAAAATGCATGAAAATTATGATTTTTTTGTGACCATGGCGCACAGAAACGTGACATGAGCATTAATATTATTAATTAACTAGTGTTTTCTGAGTCAGTGTCGCAAAGATTAAATTGATTTGACAAAAGCACAACGTTTTGTTGATATTGTGAGTGCACACAAATAGACCCTTTACAGTTCCGAACTATGTATTATTCTTATCTGTATGAGCAAAAATGACAGCGCATTTAATTTGTTTCCACTGATGTCCTGAAGCACGCTTCAGCTTCCACTCTCCACATAAACGATTGGATATGCGCCTAATAGTGCACATTTATCTAGGTTAAATGTTTAAACTAGCATTGTGATATGCTTTAAGTATTTTATCTATAGATTTTATTTTCGGCAAGTCGTACTTACAACATCAAATGACATTGTCTCATATGATGCTCATAATTTCTTCATATTGCATTAGTATCTGATAACAGCAAATCAGTAAAATAATAAAAATTGCTCTACGAAAGATCTCCATGATTAGCCTGCTTTACACTTCCTGTTTTCCCTGCTTGAGAATTTCTGTCCAATGACTGGATGACCTTAGCACACGTGTGATTTTGTTTACAATTTCTGGTTCACTTGCAAAAAGGGCAGTGTGAAAGCAAACTGCACCAAACTAAAAAAATAAACATTGTATTTGGTCCGGACCAAAGCAAGTGAACTAGCAGACTTTCCTTGTGTGAATACACCCTTACTTTTCGGACACACTTTGTGAGCTGACGCTTGAAACAGACAGTGAAGGAGGTTTAGACGCTCCAGGCTTATAGGGTGTGGAAATTAATGTGTCTTTTTATCATAGCTGAAGGGAACGACAACACGATTGCAGATGAACAAACAAGCGAACATGACACACAAACATATTCAAGCAAAAGCCAGCATATATTAGTTCGGTGAAACAAAGCAAAACCAATTTTACTCACCTATCGAGAAGAAACAAGGTAGGGCTGGGCGATTTTGCAAAAAAATTTAAATCTCGATTTTTCCAGAATGTTTGACCGATTCTCGATTTTTTACGATTTTTAACTAGTCAACTTGAAAATGTAACTACAGCATGATTCAAGTTACTTTTTCTTTATTGTTAAAGAAAATTCTATTCCAAGTGCAGCACACATGAAGTTGTCAACATGATGTAAATATTAAACAAATCACTTGTTAAATATCTTTGCAGAAAAGATGCAAAAACTACAACTACATATTGTACAAACTTGTCTTATACATATTATGTGTTCAGAAATAATACGAGGAAAATTATTTTAGAAAATCTCAAAAGTCAAGGAGCTGCTGAAACAGTTCTACTCAGCCGTCATTGAGTCTGTCCTGTGCACTTCAATAACTGCCGGGTTTGGTTCAGCTACAAAATCAGACATCAGAAGACCACAGAGAAAGGTTCGGACTGCTGAAAGGATTATTGGTGCTCCCCTGCCCACCCTTCAAGAACTGTATATATCCAGAGTGAGGAAAAGGTCTCAGAAAATTACTCTGGATCCCTCACATCCAAGTTATCCCCTTTTTGAACTTTTGCCATCTGGCCGGCGCTTCAGAGCGCGTCACACGTGAGCGGTTAATTTTGTGCGCCGACATGCGGTTGGATCATTCTTTTCTCTTTACTGTTATCACCAGCATATTGTCAAAGTGTCTAATTCTAACATTTGGTCATATTTCTCTTGAAAATCGCAATTCCTCGATTTCTAAAAAATAAAATTGTGGCAAAACAATAAATTCAAATTAATCGATAAAACCGGGAAAATCGCCCAGCCCTAAAACGAAGCAACCTCGGCGTCCGATCGCAGGCCTTCCCGCTCCTTGAGTTCTCTCCAGCGCTGGAAAACTGATCCGAAATTTACACAGGCCCCTCTTTTCCTCTTTAGTCACTCGGCTCAGCTAATATCCGTCCTATGCACTGAGCGCTCTCTCCTCCACATCATCAGTAGACACGCCCCTTACTGCTGATTGGCTACAAGTTTGTTTTGGTATTCAGCCCAACTTCGTTTTCTAAAGCGTTTTTGAAAAAATACATACCCCACCTTTAACCTACTTTGAGTGTTTCATAAGAATTCATATTTATTCATTTATATTTTTATGAGTTGTAATGGCTTAGCTACTCTCAGATATTTTGCATAAGTAGAATACACAATCACTTATTCATTTATGTGTTTGTTTAGACACTCACTCGTTCAGTTATGCTTTCACTCATTCAAACTTCCAATGATAAACACATTTTCAGTCATTAATATATTCAATTACACTGTCACTCAGTCATTCACTCATTCATTTACTGACTCATTTTCGCCCATACAATAAATCACTCACTCATTTACTTGTTTATACTCTTGCTCACATTTATTTGCTTGTTTATACACTCGTTAATTTACTCGTCACTCATTTTCTTGCTTATTCACTCATTATTCTTTGCATTAATTCATACACTCGTACACTCACCCTGTTTACTAATCCTAATAAACTCACCTATACATTTACTTTCTCACCCTTTCACTCACAGAATCACTTAGTCATTGACTTCTTATTGACATCAATTATTCTTTTACTAACATTTTATAATTCATTCATTCATTCATTCAGCATCCAGTCATGAAGTTACTCACTCACTCATTTCCTTTCTTATTAATTTAATCATTACTCAACATTTGCTTTCATTCATTCATCCATCCATCCATTCACTCACTCACTCTTTAACTCATTAATTTAATCACTCATTTGACTTGCTCAAATGTCCAGTCATGATCTGTCACTCACTCACTCACTCATTTAATCAACCTTATAAATTCACCTATTCATTCACTTTCTCACCCTTTCACTCAATGAATCACTTAATCGTTGACTTTTCATTGACATCACTTATTCTTTTACTAACATATTATAATTCACTTTGTCTTTTCATTCACTCACTCACGCACTCACTCATTTATCAATTTGTTTATAGTCCCACTCCCTCATTCACTCACTCACTCACTCACTCTTGTTTCTACTCTCATTCATTCACCCATTCAGTCACTCTTCGATTCATTCACATGCTCAACATCGACCAAATCACTCACATTCATTTATTTACTTATTTGTCTTACTCATTCATGCATTCACTTCACTCTTTCAAGTTTTAGTCATTTACTTTCTCGTCCATTCACACATTAATAACTCAAGATGTGCTTACATTCATTAATTCCCTCAATTATTCACTCTTTCTCAATCATTCACAAACATCTTTATCATTTACTCTTTTTTTACTCATTTATTTATTGACTTGTTTAGTCTTTATTGGCTCACTTTCTACATTCTTACAGACTTTATTATACTTTATTACAATATTCATTCAATTCAAAGTCTAGGAAAACACTCATTTATTGATCAGGTGTGTTTATTCACAAACAGGAGGCAGACAGAACGGAGTCACTGAAAGAACTCTGTGATTTCAAGAACAATAAGCACTGAAAGTCTTTAATGTTTTATTTTATGCCACGTGTGTGTGTGTCAGTAGTGAACAGGAAAAGGGAACAATGAACAGCTCTGCTTTTAATCACTCTGCTATTATTGTCATTATCTGCATTGATTTCCGTACTTCTGTTGCTTGTTCTTGTCTTACTGTCCTGCTTCACTTTTTTCTTGCCTGCTTTCTCTTTTCTTTCAGATTCTTTGTCCACTTTTCCACCTGTTTTGCTTTCATGCATTGCAGTAGCTATGCGTGAGTTTTTGTAAGTGTCTTTTTATTTTCATATTATTGCCATTTGTTTACTGGTCCTGTTCTTGATCAGCTGATCTAAACAGACGTCGGCTCTTCCTGGGCCGCTGACAGGGTCCTTGCATTCATGGAAGCAGGCATTTGTGCTGAGCCCCCCTCTTAATTATGCTGAGTACTGTTGGCCCAGTCTCTTAGTGTTACCATTATCCTTATGACACACATAGAAAAATGTACACACACTCAGTTATAAAAAACGTTTTGCCACTGTCTGCTGCATGTTTCAGTAGTTGCGCCTTAGGCTTTATGTTTTTGTATTGCACACACACACATATAGAGATCAGCTCTATCCACAGCTTCAGGACATTGGGTCTCACCATACGTTTACTAACAGTACATATGAATCTGCATGTTCACATTTGTACAAACATATCATGATTCAACAATACCAAATCACATGTATGAAAAAAACATACTCTGCGAGGCCTTATAAATGTGTTAAGATACAAATTTTTACATACTATGTTATTTGTCTAACTGAACATTTTATCTTAAATATATTTCATTATGTAGGCCTATACACACACACCAAAAGAGTAAGAAAGGGTGCATTAAAGCTTGAGCTGCGAAGTGCTTGTGCCTCAAGCATGCGGTCACCGATTTAGAATACTCCAAATTCATTAACGTAAGAACAAGGTTAAGAACAAATTTGTCTGCATGAGAAGTTCTCCTGTAGGAATAATCCACACTATTATTAGTGAGTGTTTTAAACTGAACTGCCATATCATTTTTTTAACGATAAGAAATATGCATACATGAATAAATAAATTTAAAAAAGTTGAAACAAACATCTAAACTATCAATGCAATATCATGAGAATAAGGATCATGATATATTAACATTATATTGGCACCATCCTACTTTATAGTGTCATCTACAGGTGTGGATACAATAAAGCATTTTCAAATGCTACTGTAGAACTACTCTATTCACACTATTATTCATGACAACAACATGGATTAATTTATCCTACAAACCTAAAGTGGAATTTAATAGGATGGTTACTATTATCAAGTGAGTAGTTTAGTGCTGGTCATGTGATCACAATATGGTGGCCACCATAAGGGTGGTGTCTTTTTAGGTTAAAATGACTTTTTCTGGTCCACTCATATCTGTTGTCATGTCATGTGAGTGTACATCATTTTAAACATATTTGTTTGTTGTCTTCATTTATTTAAGTGTACGATTTTAAATTGAAATCAATAATGTACACAAATACTTTTAAAATTACAGAAAAAGTTCACCTAAAATAAATATATATATTTTTTTTTTCTACACTCAGAAAAAAAAGTACAAAGTTGTCACTGGGGTGGTACCTTTTCAAAAGGCTAAAGAGTCCATATTGGTACCTTAAAGGTACATGTTAGTACCTAAAGTGTGCATATTAGTACCTAAAAGGTACAAAAGTGTACCTTTTGAAAAGGTACCGCCCCAGTGACAGCTTTTGTACCTTTTTTCTGAGAGTGTATTTATAGCAGAATGTCTAATTTTCATATTTTCATTGAATAGCAACTTTGCATTTTTCCCTCACACAAATTAATCTTAAAGCTTTGGAAGATTTGAAACACAGAATTCTATTCGGATTATTTTTATGATGTTTTATAGCAATTGTTTTGTGCCTTTTGGAGTTTGACAACCCCTGGTCACAATCTACTTTCATTGTATGGAAAAGAACAGCATGAACATTCAGCTAAACATCTTCTTTAGTGTTTAATGGAAGAAAGAAAGAACATTAAAAAAAAACATTTATGTATGTATATATGTACATTTATTTATCTCTTTATCCATCTATCATCAGTTAGTTGGCACATTAAGATATTGCCATATTAAAAGGAATAGTTCACCCATAAATTAAAATTCTGTCATCATTTACTCACCCTCATTTCATTCAGAAATATCTCTTTTTGTGACCGAAATGAATAGAGGTTTGGATACTGGCTGGTTTACAAAAGCTTTGTAACTCATCCAGTGAGATTTTTATCTTATCGCATTCCACTGCTCTGGTTCTAAGCTGTTTCTCTGTAAACACAGTAGAGTAGACCACAAGATTGCACCCTACACAAAGTGCGTCATCTACTTTCATTGTATGGAAAAGAACAGCATGAACATTCAGCTAAACATCTTCTTTAGTGTTTAATGGAAGAAAGAAAGAACATTAAAAAAAAAACATTTATGTATGTATATATGTACATTTATTTATCTCTTTATCCATCTATCATCAGTTAGTTGGCACATTAAGATATTGCCATATTAAAAGGAATAGTTCACCCATAAATTAAAATTCTGTCATCATTTACTCACCCTCATTTCATTCAGAAATATCTCTTTTTGTGACCGAAATGAATAGAGGTTTGGATACTGGCTGGTTTACAAAAGCTTTGTAACTCATCCAGTGAGATTTTTATCTTATCGCATTCCACTGCTCTGGTTCTAAGCTGTTTCTCTGTAAACACAGTAGAGTAGACCACAAGATTGCACCCTACACAAAGTGCGTCTGAGTTAAGAGCGTCACAGGTCTTCTGACATTTGAAAAAAATTATCTGCCTTTGTGTAACACAATCTCTCTCTCCCTTTGCTCTCCACAGTCTGTGTGCTGTACACCCAAGGCATTGGCAACAAAGAGTGGCGAGAGGTAAGCGGAGCAATCTGGCCCAGTCGTGTCGACCCCTTGAAGGGCCTGGCAGACCCTTGCTCTCATAAATATTCAAATATATGTAAATATGGGCTTGGAATATTCTCAGAATAGTCATCTCAATTATTTTTGTGTCTATCAGTTCTTCATATTTTTGCCTTCCCAGCTAATCAGAGGAAATATCAGGCTCTCTAAAGCACCATTAAGAGGGCCATGTATTTATTAACTTCAATCACTAGCTGGTAAAATATGATAAGCCACCCAGAGAATGTAATAACTTTCTCACCCACGCACATATCAAGACAACTCCAGCCCACTTTTCAAGTCGGCTCATTAAAACGTTAAGTCCCTTTCACATCGCATCAAGGCTTCAACGCACCTCTCAATACTGTCATGCACCTCTTTGACCTCCATATTAAAGACGTTGAAGGTAGCGGCAGGAATATGGGAGGTGTACACAGTAAACAGGGACTTGTATTTGCACTTAGAACATTATAAAAAGGACTCATCAAATTTAGATTTATTAAATGAACTAGAACTGGTTCAAAATATATGTATAGGATCAGTCGCTCCATCCATTTCAATTACACAAGTAATGTTACCTCTTTCGTTTGTATATACGAATTTGGCATTTTTGATGAAATATTTTAGAGATTGGAATAACTTGTAAAATTGGCATTCATTATAAAATGGCGTTTTAATTTTTTTACAACTTTACATGACTTTTCCAGATTTAGAAATCATACTTTTAAAATTAGTATATATACAGTGGGTACGGAAAGTATTCAGACCCCCTTACATTTTTCACTCTTTGTTAAATTGCAGCCATTTGCTAAAATCATTTAAGTTAGGACCATGTGATATTTCAGTTTTTCTTTTTTAATAAATCTGCAAAAATGTCAACAATTCTGTGTTTTTCTGTCAATATGGGGTGCTGTGTGTACATTAATGAGGAAAAAAAATTAACTTAAATTATTTTAGCAAATGGCTGCAATTTAACAAAGAGTGAAAAATTTAAGGGGGTCTGAATACTTTCCGTACCCACTGTATATTCATTCTTTCTAAGACTGAGAAAGCCCTGTATTTTTTTTAAGAAAAAAACTGTTAATAAATATTTATTTTAATAATAAATATAAAATAATTTTTTTTTAGTTGCTTTACCTTATTGTAATACTCGTTTTTGATTATTTTAAATCATTTTAAGTCATTTTGAGTCCAGTTTAGAAGTTCACTAAAGAACACTGTTATACATTGTATGATGTTTTCAGTTCAATGGGAAAATGTTGATGTAAATAATTTCAGCTGACCTTCCTTTGTTCTTTCAGTTTGGGCGGACGGAAGTTATTGATAACACTTTGAACCCGGATTTTGTGCGAAAATTCATATTGGACTACTTCTTTGAAGAAAGACAGAACTTAAAGTTTGATCTGTAAGTACCAATAGATATTGCTTTACCTTCAGCTACATTTACACAAGTTTCGCCACATTTACACTGTAACTGCTCTGGGTGCGCTGAACTTTGAGAGTTTTTACTCTTTTATGTATTAGAAACTGTACTGAGTTAGAAAAAAAAATTGGAATGACCTCTTGTTCTTGAATGACATACAGTATATTAGTTCCTCTTCAGGAACTCGAGCTGCGTCGGAGGACGCTTTGGGAACGCCCCTCAGCGTGACCGGCTCTGAACCCCTTGTGTAATCAGTCCAATAGATGGGCGAGACGTCACGGGCGGGTGACGTAATGACCAGGAAGCTATAAAAGCACGTGCGGTGAAACCGGCGTCAGCTTTCTGTCATTCAGCAAGCGCTCTGTGTGTGTGTCAGTCTGATATCCATTTGTGAGTCTTATTTAATGTTGTTTTGTCCAGAATGTCAAATGCGTTTCAGGCTGTTTGTTCCTCCCTGCCCACATTATATTAAGGATGGGGATACACACAGTTTGTGCGTTGTCTGCCTGGGAGTGGAGCATGCTGAGTCGGCTCTCGATGCATGTTTTCCGCTCCCAGAAGGCTCTCTTTGCGAAGGGAGCTTCCCCCCGGGGAATGGGCTCGACGCTCCGCCTGTCTTCCTCTGAGGAGGTTGGTGTGGTGGGCGTCGATGAGGATTCACCCCCTCAATCTCCACAGTATGAGGAGCTTTTAGAGGTGGTAACTTGTGCCGTGGCCAAGTTAAACATCGATTGGCCCACCGAGAAAATGGCTGAGCAACAGAAGAGTAAATTGGATGAACATTTTCTGCGTGTTAAGCCGCCACCTGCCTTTTTTCCCCGACCTCCATACCGAGGTGTCGAGGTCGTGGGGTAGACCCTTCTCGGCCCGCCTCTTTATCCCTGCTTCCGATTATTATGGCAATGTGGCGGGGGTGAGTGAACGCGGGTATAAGACGAA